GCCCCCATCGTTGTGTGGAAGAGAAAGAAAAAGGCACTGATCTCTTCGGGATAGTCCGTTGAGATCCTGCTATAAAGTCTGGAACACGAATGTTCTCTAGATGTAGCAGTCTTGGCTCACCACACAAGGTCCTCTGTTAGGGTACCTTACAGGCTGCAAAGACCCAGCCATCCACTTGCTAGAAACCATCAGGAGAGCTCACGTTTCACATGGAAAAGCAGAACATTTCTTTGAAGCCATCTGATTGGGATGAAAGTGACTGCTGGCGCAGTCTTTTACATTGATTGTCTAAGGGAGAGCCTTAAAACATACACGAAATCCCCCAGTAACACAGTTTTGCAAAAGGATGGAAACGTGTGACAAAAAGCGAGTAGGTGGAGATGAGACCAAATTTGCAAGAATGGTTGGACAGGATAAGAAACATTCCTTAGATTGACATTGACATTAAGCCTGAATATTGAGCTTTTGTGGAAAGGGGCGCCTATCTGATGGAAGAGGCTGTTAACTGCACAGGATTCTTGCCTCTTTCAATTTCTATTTAATCCTTGCTCAAACAAGAATTTCTTACTCCAAAGTAAGTACTTCTTTTACCAGGTGCAGAATTTGGGATGAAATCTGGTAAAGCTCCACAGAAGTATGTAGAAGTATACCCTTAGATGTGTAACCCATGTATGATTAAAAAATAAATAAAAAGATTCTCCTACCCTCATGGGGAAATTTACCATTTCAATGAACATTAAAAACTAATGGTGTGTCTTGATTTTTAACATTTTTATTGGTATAAAACAATGACATTTTTATAGGACTGGGTAGCTTTTGTGGAAAATTAAAGTTTAGAGGTTACTTACCATCTGTAAAATCCAGGATTTAAGTGTGTCATATTAGTGTGTGAGCTAGTTTATCCATTAGTACTGATCTTCAAAGTACCAAGACACTAGACATTTGTCACTGTGTAATTTAAGTTTTTTTAAATACAAGATTGGCTTTCACATGTGAAAACTTTATAACAATTGTTTTTAAGTTAAGTCCATTAAAGCTAGAATCTTTAAGTTCTACTTAGTGTTCTATGCTGTTTATACATTTTGTAAAACATGTACAAAAATACTTTTGACTTTGTATAAAAATGAGAATAATGCTTTTGACTTGTTTTTTGGTGAACGTTTCAGTTAATAAATTTAACAGTAAATTCCCCCTAACCAGCTAATTGTTTTAAGTTTAGTTAAATCCTTTAAACATTTCAAACTCAACCACTCCAGATGCCTGACAGGACAGACCTATAAATGAAATAAAAGTGCTTACATAGTTAATAAATAAGTCAAAATTGTAAATACTGTAAGTCTGACTCTCAGACATTCGGATATTGTTTACAAGTGTGAATTATCTGACATCTTCAAGTTAGAATCGAATCTAATATCACTTATACAAAAATTACAAAGTTAGCGTACTTATTTTGGTATATGGCAGACCAAAATAAATTGAAAATCCTCTATCTACAAACACTTAAAGATGCAAGAATTTACAAAAAAAGAAAGGGCAAGACCTAGCTGCCAGAAATGAAGTAGAAGCCGGATATGGCTAACTTGATGGTTGCCCTGAAGAGGAGGAGGGTGTAGGTCTCATCATTTAGAGACTTGGGTTTTATTACCCAAGTGACTAAGGGTAGGAGATGGAGCCTTGAGACTATTAGAGCCAAGTAATGGGAACTGAGACCTTACATATAACGTATATGTTTGAAAGACTTCAGTGAAAGGATTAACTAGAAAAAAACTTTTTATCAGCATAACGGATAGCAAAGTTTGGGCCCTGAATGAAAAAAAGTCTGTCCTGATAGCTTGTAACCTGGGAACTGCTTCATACAATTTGGGTGTACGTTTAAGCTAGGTATGGGACTCCAGGAAAACTTAAGCCAAGAAATTAACAAAAATTGGTTCTGGGCTGGTAATAACTTTGGGGGGTCCTCGTAGAAACAAACGAAAAGCTTTTTTTTGGTGGAAACTTCACAGCATAGGTCACAGGAATCTTCTATAAAAAATAAGCCTTGCAAAAGATGAATTCACAGTAAAAAGTTGTAGAACTTGAAACAGTTCACCAAAATGATGGTTTGTGACAAATGGAATTAGAACCCCTACAGGTAATCTGAAAGCAAATATGCTTAAAATTATTAAAAACCTAAAGGAGTCAACTTTAAGACCAAGACATTCTGAAGAAAGGCCATGCTGATACAAAAAGAACCAAGTATATCTTCTAGAAATAGAAATAATGCATAAGTTGAATTGCAGATCTAGCAGAAGAAATAATTAGTGAAGTGGAAGACCTCTAATTACCCACAATTCAGTTCAGAAGGAAGAGATGAAAAACAAGAAACAGATTGAGAAGTCCTGTCATTTAATATGCGTATAATGTGTCTGCTAAGAACATGGCGAGGAATCACTATTATAGTTGGGAATTTTCCAAGATTGATGAATATTTTGGGTCAAAAAGCAGCAGTCCCAAGCATGGAACATAAAAACCAATTAATAACGATATATGTTGATGTGAAATTGCAGATTATGAAATATCAATAAATACGAAAATGGTAGTAGACTTAAAAGTTTTAAGAAGCCAGAAAATGAACTGATCCAAGGACTAGTGAATCCAGAAAAGGGAAACAGGATGCAAAAAACAGTATACAAGAAGCAAACACAGTAAATAAAAAGCAAATATTGATCGTATGGAACATCAAAGATTAAAATGATTACATTTGGACGTTAAAAAATGGAAGCAAAAGTGAAGTCTGTGATTGCCATTATAGTATTAAGATTCTAGTAGAGGTTGGAGATTGTGAATTTTGTCCAGAATGTATGTTAAAAATTGAACATTAAATTATGAACGGTAACTTATTGAGAGAACAAATTGAATGTTTAACTTTTAAAGCAGTAGGGGAAAAAGGAGTAAAGAAAATCCAGTAGGAGGCAGGAAAGGAGTTAAAGGAGAAAGAAAACCCCAGTAGGTAGAAAAATCTAATATAGGTGTGTAGGAATAAATAGTAAAAGTATGAAAACACCAGTTGAAAGAAAGATTTCACATTGGGGGAAAAAAGATCTGTTATGTTCAGAAATGATACACCTAAAACAAGAATGTTGGAGGTATAGAGACAGAAAAAGATTAACCAGGCAAACACCCACCAAAAGCAAGATGCTGTTTAGGTATGTTACCAGTCAAAATAAAGTTTGGACATTTTTAATTACGCTCTTCATGCAGTGTTAAAACGGAATTTATCAGGAATATATAAATTTGTACTTTTATGTGGCTAACAATATAACCTCAAAATATAGAAAGCAAAAAAAAACCCTAACAAATCTATGGTCAGATGGAAGTTTTCTAGCATACCTTTCTCTGTAATAGATTAGGCAGACCAAGTGTTAAGAAGGGTATGAATGATACAATGAACAAATATCTAGACTTAGAGAATTTATTCAACATTTAGCTAATACACAGTTCTTTTCAAGCACATGAGGGCCATTTATGCAAGTAAAGTATTTACCAAGGGAAAAAACAAACAGCAAATCCTAATAAGTACCAAGAATAATAACAAAATACTTTTTTAGCCACAATGGAATATAATTAGACAAAAACAAAGAGAATCAAAACCCTATACATTTGGAAATGAAAGCATTTCTAAATCATGGATTTAGACACAGGGCTCAAGTGTCAAGTACTCAGTGAGTAGTGGTTTGAAATGCTATTAAAGAAACTCATTTTCTCTGATGAGTGTAAAACATCTGTACTTTCTCACTCAAGTATTTATACTAAAGGCTGTGTTTATTGGTCAATATGTTATATCTTCCAGAGTTTTAAAGTCAGCCAGCTAAAGAAGTCAGATTTGTAGTTTCAGAGGAATGAAATGATTGGGTTAAAATTATAGACTCATTAGATTTGAACAAGGGTCACATGACCTATATGCTGTGTACTTCTATAATTTTGCTTGAGCCAAAGGCTAATAAACAAGTATGTCATTGAGAGAACCCACATCCATGCCTTAGGATATAATTGAAGCTAAAGCTTCATTTATGCCTGGAGTAACTTCAGTTTTACTCATATATTTCCACCACTTTCATAATCCTTTCCAGTTTCTGACTTGGTTGAAGCTAATTTCTCATTTGGTAGATGCATCTAATCTCTTTATGGTCCATTTAGATTCTGTGTCCTTTTCGCATTTTATTTGGTCATTAGCTAGAAGTCTGATAATTTTATTATGGGTGTGGTAGTGATGCAGTTTTTTTCTTTTTCATCTCAGCCTTCTGTCTTTTACATTCATAGAAGTAGTTAAGATTTCATTCAATATTCTTGAAATGAAAATATTAACTATTAATATTTAAAAGCAATAAATATTTTAAAAGTAATTTGTTCAGCCTGATTGCAGATCTCTACTACAGAAAAGTGGCAGATCTGATGTCACCTTAAACTGCCATTGGCAATGTTTTCATATTGTAGCTTAATGTGAATTGAATGAAAAAGTCACTGATTTGATTTCTGGTGGTTTTCAGAACTGTTTGACAGCAAACGATTTTGTTTCATATCAGATGAGGTTGTGCCTAATGGTCAGCAGTTTCAGACAGTCATTTTTTGCAGCTGAAAGAGTATTTCATATAATATTACTCTTATTCATCGCTAATAAACTTAGGTCATTAATTTGACACTGAGTAGAAACCTAAAGGAGAGAGCCTCTTCAAAAGTTTATGATATAAGTGACATTTTGAAGTATGAAGAAAAAGCTCATAGTTCAAAAAAATTTTTTTTGCCGTACTTAATTCATGCCTTCCTTGGTATCTTTTGTTGCCAAAAAGGAAGCTGGAAGTAGGTATTGCTGAGTTGGTATACTGATTGGCCAAGTCCCTGAAAGCTTGGTAAAGTTGAGGATAAACAACTAACTTAGCTGCTTTTGTCGGAGATCTGTTTGTTGCTGCTGACAGCCAGAGCAGTCTAGTACAGGGGAAAGGTATATATGTTGGGCTGGTGAGGATATGCAAGTCAGTGTAATCCTGGGGATTTATCTCGTCAGAGTGTATGTCTTCCCCTGCCCCCATTTGGTCTTGGTTAGTTTCAGTAGATGTCTTTTTGTACACAGAGATAGCTTGAGCTTTGAGTTTTTGTTAAAAGGATGGATTTTTCACTGATTTACATTTGTTTGCTTGGTTCTTGTGACCGTCAGGACACATTTGTAGAGTAGTTGTTTTCAAAGATGTAAACAAATCTTTCCACAGTATTTTTAACTAGTTTTCCTTCTGTAGTTAATATTTATGACATTTTCTTAATCACATTTCATCTATAAGAGCTAAACTCAGCCTTTGAGGGAAGCATAATTTTAAATAAGATTTAAAATTCTTTTTATGTGTTTTAGATTCTGGAAGTTACGGGCAGTCTGGGGGTGAGCAGCAAAGGTAAAGTATACGTATATTTTAATAATACCATGTAAGAGTAGAACTGAGGAAAAAAAGATGAATTTAGTTAGGGTTTCCTTTTGAGATTTGGTATCTGGATTTCTAAAAGAGTTAAATATTAGCTTGTCAAGGAAAAGAGTCAGACTGTGTACATACATACTAAAACAATTTTTCCTTTTTTTTTAAAAAAAAGCCTGCTTGAATCAGTAAATTCAGATACCCCCTAGAAATTAAGACAAATCTCATAGGTATTTTAAAGATTGTTTTCTTTAGGAAATTTTAAAAAAGTAGTTTAAGTCCTTAAAAGGATTTAAACAATTCAACCAATATTACAAGTTTTTAGAGAAAGCATTTCAGTTTTTGGTTGTATAAAATGCTAATATTTTTTTCAGAGCAGATTTTCTTGAAGCACTGTAATAGAAATGCTTAGCATTTTAAAAAGACTTCTTACCATGCTCACAGTAAAAAGAAAAGTCTGTTTTTATGTGACCATATACATGCAGTAGGGTTCTTTTACGTGCCAGGAACACAGTCTTCATCTTGCACTATAAATGTTTTGCAGCTCAATGTGAGATACTCAGAATAGCATCTCAGGTATCTTCTGTCGTCAGGTTTTAAGCTCCATGAAAACAAAACTAGTTTGACTTTTTTATTCTCCTAAGATAGTGCTAACCTTATAATAGGCAACTAGCAAATGTTTATTCACTGAAATGTATTTTATAAAGTAAAATTGTGTTAGTACTTGATAGTTATAGAATAATAAGGTGTTTTTTGTTTTTTTTTTGCAAATATTTTATCTTATTTTGGCAGGCATATATTCAGAAAGTTTGTTTCTGACTTGTTAGGGTTTACATGCTATAAAATTGAAGAAAATTCAGTTCTGAGGAAGGTACATTTATTTAGTCAACGAACTATATGCTAGGCTGTGCAATGACACAATATAATTTCATTCAGTGATAAGACTCAGAAGATACACATGTCTCTACTGAGGCACAAAAATTGGACTTTTAGTGCCTATGGTGCCTTTTCTAGGAAGATAAAGGCAGATTTAAGGCAGATGGTAGGAAGAAATTAACCTGTAAAAACATAGCTAATTTGATGAAAGCACTAACTTAAAAAGTCCTCATTTTTCTGCTTCAGATATTAGGGGTTTTGCTTCCATGTAGTCACTCCCACACGCAGGTATAATTCTCTTGAGATTTTCTAGCTCTAGTGAAGTTTTATTTGTGGGATATTGTTAGAGTGAAACTTTTGGTGCTTGTTTGGCATTCAGGAGGTCTGGGAGTGACTTCCTTTATGTCTTTACACTCTTTGGTCACCACCTTTAAATTTAGACTCTTGGAGGCAGATTGACAATTTCTCAGAAGAAAAGCTTGTATGGAGTTGAAAGTTGAAAATGAAGATAGGGCTTTCTTTGGTTTTGTTTTTAAGCTTTTAAAATTCTAGCACATCTCTTTCAAATAGTACATTTTTCTTTTACAGTTATTCTTCCTATGGAAATCAAGGCAACCAAGGTTATGGACAAGCACCACAAGTAGGTTAAAATATAAATTAATGTGTTTCATAAATAATTATTCCTATTTTAAGTAGGTGATGAAACTTGTATTTACCTAAATTTCAGAGCTATTCTGGCTATGGACAAACTACTGATACCTCATATGGACAGAACTATGGCGGCTACTCCAGCTATGGACAAAGCCAATCAGGTTAGACTTGTTTGTTAAATTTGCTATTTTAGAAATTTAAAAATCAGATCATTTACTAAATGGTATATCCATCCAACCTTAGGTTATTCACAGTCCTACAGTGGTTATGAGAATCAAAAGCAGAGCTCATATGGCCAGCAGTCTTATAATAACCAGGGACAGCAAAACACGGAATCATCAGGAGGGTAAGGAAACAGTAAAGGCACTGAGATTATGTCGGGCAGTGGAAATAACACTTCGGGTATTAAATAGACTTCGCCATCAAATTCCTAGCTTTAAACATTTTTTCAGAAAAGTTTTGATGAAGTATGAATTTCATAGTTTTGTGTTATAAATGTGGAAATTGTCACCAATGTCATTTGATTCTTATGATGTGGTTATTTGTAAAATTACTGTTGAGGTGTATGTAAATGCACATGATTTAAATGTTAAAAAGGAAAATTTTGACCTCTGCTTTATACCTGAGATTAAATAAAAACCTAGCTATAAAAGGACACTTCTCAGTGATTACTTTTATTTCCATTTTATTTTTTAGCCATTTTAATGTATTACCTTTATTACCTTTTTAGGGACAAAAATATTTAAAAAGTGCCAAAACCTATCCACATATTTCAGATACTCTAAAGATATTTTATTAATATAGGTAGGTAAATACATACCAGCAAGTTTACAGGTTTAAGTATTTTTTGGGGGGGGGTTTGGTTTTATAGTTTTTAAGTTTCAGATGAGAGGAGGCTGTTCTTATTACTAATTTTAGTGATAGCAACTTAATTTTTTTTATTGTGCTTTACATTTTCTAAAATGCTTTTGCATTCCTTAATTTATCCTTAACCACTGTGACATAGTGTCAGTAATTATCCCCATTTTGCAGAGGTAAAGAGAAGTTATTAAGATTATGTAAGCTGTTAAGTTACATAGCTGAAAAATGAGGCAAAAACTGAGCTTACTAGTATTCTGTCTGCAGTGAAAAAAATTATTCTAAGTGAAATTCAGTTAAGTATGAACATTGGGAAAAGATTTATGAGGTTGCATTGTCAGTGTTATAGATATGAAAGTGTTTTGAAAAGTAGAAAAATAGAGTAGAAGGAAGATCTCTTCAACCCCTGTTGGTTAGTTTTAAATTTAGAAGAATCCTTTTATAAGGATGCATTTTTGGAAGCATACATGTAAATGCAAACCAAAGAAATGTGTTAGATTTGGTCTGACCACCATTTTAATGGGAAGTGCTAGGTGCACCGGGGTGGCTCAGTCAGATAAGTGTCTTGAATTTGGCTCATTTCATGATCTCACGGTTTGGGGGGTCAAGCCCCACGTCGGGTGCTTTGCTCACAGCATGGAGGCTGCTTGGGATGCTCTCTCTCCTCTGCCTTGCCCGTTCACTCTCTCTCAAAATCAATAAATTAAAAAAAAAAAGATGAAGCACTAGGGTTCTGACTGTTGATGTGATGTGCTTTGGGTACAGAGTTGGGGGAACATACTAATCTTTATTAGATTCTTCTCATCTGATGCAGAATAAGATGTGACTATTAAGTTATGAGGTTTTTTGTTCCCTTTTTGTAAAAGTAAACATTAGAACTCAAATCCAATTTAAACGTTCCTTTTAACATCCCCATCCTGAGAACAGGTAATTAATAGTCCTGTTGCTCAGAACATACCTAGAAATTTCTTTTTGAATTGCCAGAGATAATAAGAAAGTAGTCTCATTATTTGGTAGACTATTTTCAGGTGTAAAAAAAAAAAAATGGCATCACAAAGCAAGTTCCTTCCTCTAAAAATCTGAAAGCTATCATTGAAGATATTTAGGAGAATGTAATATAGGTTGTAAAGATAATTATAAGAGAATAGTCCCCCCCCCCCCCCCCCCCCCCATCGCTTCTCGGCCTTTTGGCTAAGATCAAGTGAAGAGAATAGTCCCCCAAATATTATGAGATAACGTTGTTAAATGACAGAGCTTTTTAGTGTAACTGTTAAAAGGACTCAGCACTTGTGATATATTTGTTAGAGACATATTACTGTACTTTGTGGCACCTTTAATTTTTTTAAATTCAAGGAGATGGTAAGAGGCATAGTGATTTTTTGCTTTACCAGTGTTTTCAGAGGTGCATGTGGTTTTCCTCATAATGTGGGATTTCTTCAGTGATAGTGCAATTGGTTTGAAGGCCATTCCACTGGTGATAAGGAGATTTTGTAGATAAAAGAACTAAATCCTTTGCATCAGAAAGTAGTATTAAATATGGTTGAGGTCTAGCTGGTCAGGTCCCTTCTGTCAGTCTCAGTCAACTTGCTACAGTGAACATAATCCTTCTATAAATTTCCAATTCTTGATTTCTGTTTAGCCAAGGTGGAAGAGCACCTCCGTATGACCAGTCAGACTATGGTCAACAAGATTCGTATGACCAGCAGTCAGGCTATGATCAACATCAAGGTTCATATGATGAGCAGTCAAATTATGGTCAGCAACATGATTCCTATAATCAAAACCAGCAGTCCTATCATTCACAAAGAGAGAATTACAGCCACCACACACAAGGTATGATATATTATTTTTCTTTTTTCCTCTCAGAATTACATTGAGTTCTGGATTAAAAGACCTACAGGATTTTAGTTGTTTGTATAAATTCAGAGTGACCTTGAATATATGTTCTTCTTTCTTATGGCCATTAAAACTAGTTTATTGGATTTCCATTTCTGAATTTCTCAGAAACTCCCAAATGGTCATATGACTTTTTGATGATTGATTACCTGAATTTCCTTTGTTGTGTCAGTTAACTTTGATCATTTGACAATGTTGCTGCTACCATTGTTTTGGTAGTGGTGGTATACCTGATATAGAGAAACTACCTATCAGGTATACCTGATAATAGAGAAACTAATCACCAGTAATTAACCTTCTCTCACCTCATCTAAGAAGGACCAGCCCTTCTTTCACTTGTTTTCCTGTAGCACTTAGACTATACCACTGATATTTAGGAATTTGTCCCATGTTTCAAGGGCACAAGTCCTGTCTTACTCATTTGTACCTTCATTACCTACTATAGAGCCTGGTTCATAGTAAGTGCTTAATAAATATTTGTTGAATAATTGAATAAATAAGCGAATGAGTAAAAGTGGAAGCTTATTCACTGAATATCTTCAGTGAACATATTCACTGAATATGTCTCAGTTTTAAAATCGTTATTTCTTGTCCCTGCTTGATTTACATTTAAGTATTTTTGAGGTGAAGAAATAACTTTTTAAGATTAGGGTTATGCTCGGGGCGCCTGGGTGGCGCAGTCGGTTAAGCGTCCGACTTCAGCCAGGTCACGATCTCGTGGTCCGTGAGTTCGAGCCCCGCGTCGGGCTCTGGGCTGATGGCTCAGAGCCTGGAGCCTGTTTCCGATTCTGTGTCTCCCTCTCTCTCTGCCCCTCCCCCATTCATGCTCTGTCTCTCTCTGTCTCAAAAATAAATAAACGTTGAAAAAAAAATTTTTTAAAAAAAAGATTAGGGTTATGCTTTTCATCTAATTTATTAAGATTCTGTACCTAATGTTGCACTTTAGCTATTCCTCATCACCATCACATCAAGTGGTGATATCCATGTCACCATTTTGTTATCTGACTACGTAGCAGGACGGAATTTGACACAGATACAGTTCCCAAACACATTTAATTCCAGATGTTTTTTTGATGGCTTGCATTTGAATTCTGTATATATGTGCCATATTCCAAAGAATATAATGTATAACCTAAAGAGCCATTCAAGATTATGTTATGGGAAGCCTTTGTCAGAAATGACCCATGGTTATTTATTCATGTGTATATTATTATTATTATTTTTTTGTAGATGACCGTCGTGATGTGAGTAGGTATGGAGAAGATAATAGAGGATATGGCGGGTCACAGGGAGGAGGTAGAGGGCGTGGGGGATATGACAAGGATGGAAGAGGTCCTATGACAGGATCAAGGTAAGTATTTAGGTATAGGTGCCTACATTCCTTCTCTCTTTAATTTTTTAAAATTTTTGTGGCTTTACTTAGCTGGTTTGATTCCAGCATCTGATTTAAGAGGCTTAAGTAGATTATGTTTTAGAGAAGAAGGCAGAAACTCAAAATTGATTTTCAGTCTTCAGATGTCACATAAATTACCTGAGGATAGGCTGTGTTAGTAGTTCGTTTATGTGGTGTATATTAAACACCAGTGGAGAACATTCCCATTTTGGTTGTGATTAAACCACTTAATATGTTTTTCCTGCCAGAGCTATAGAGTCTAAACTCCTTTAAATGATGACTCTGGGAAATCCAAGTATAATATATGTAAAAAATAAAAGGTAAGTTAATTTTAGATTGGAGTGCAGAGAAGCTGTTCCTTAATCTTGAATCCCCTTGGGAAGAGAAAATATTAGGTGATAGAATATAAATGTGGGGTTGGCAAATGAGAAAGATTTTTGTAATTAAACTATTTGGTCTCCCTTCTTTAGTAAATAATTATTGGAATAATTAGTGCAGCATTCCCTGTCATTATGTATTTTGTTCAGACTAAGCTGTGGAAAAGAAGACTTGTAAATTCAGCTTTTCTTTTCCAGCTTCCCTTTTCCCTATTGCTAGTTTTATCAGGTTTTGGTATTTAATTTTGGTATATGTTATGAAGTTGGTTTTAAAATTACTTTTAAATATATCTATAAATTTGGCACTTTGGCCCTAAAAACAAGAATGAAAAAATAACTGACATTTGTTGAGGACACTCAGATGAGGTTTTCAGGTTGCAAATTCATGTGTAAAGTACACAGGCCTTAAAAGATAACTGTGTTCCTTGGGAATTGAAATTGTTAGTAGCCTGTTAACTGACACTTAATAATATATCAGTACCAGTTCACTCTTTTGCATCTTAGGGACTGTCTGTCCCCTCAGCTGACCTGAGAGACATACAGCATTGTTATTTCTTCAAGTGAGCCAGGAGTTTGGTCACTGACTTGTATTTCTCTGTGTTTAGTATTCAGTGTATTGATATTATGGAAAAACTAAAGCCTAAACTTACTTGGTAAACGTTTATAAGACTGAATATTAAGTCTTTTGATTGATAACCAAAGTCAGTTTACAATATACAAATATGTTATTGTGTGCTCTTCATTATCAAAGTGAGCAGCCTGCCATCATGTGGATGTAAGTGAACAGTGTTAAGTGACATGGTGCTTACTTTCTACCTAATAGCCTCCCTTTCACCTCAAACAGAATCCCAAACAAGATAACCAACAGGTATATTTAATTTTCCAGCTAATATGTTTTAGATAATTGGCTTCTTTGGAATGCTACATGTTTTGCAGGATATCATAGGTTTAATTTTCTTCATAAGGAAGCTGTATGCTATAAATTATTAAACTATGACAGTGTCTGAAAATGGTAGAATCCCACTTTTCAGGAGGAGGCAGGTAGGGAAATCTTTAAAAATACATTTTCATCTTTGAGAGATGACTCATCTTAGAATCAGAGATTTGAAAGGGCCTTGAATGAACCTCTTAATAGAAAAGGGAAGCTCCATACCATAACCAACTTGAGAGTCCTATTTTTAATCACCTTTATAATTTCCTTGGCAACATATTTCAGTATAATTTTTCATGAACTAAGTTTTTGATTTTCAAATTGTATTTAGGCTTAGAATCTCTTCATACAGTATCTTATGTAGAAGCCCACTATATCTTAGGTAAAATGATACTGATCTAGTTTATGGTAGGATTGGGGGAGGGGGTCTTGTCCAGTTGTTACCTATACCCACCCCCCCAAGCCAGTAGATGGCATGTTCATGAAGGGCCTTTTTTAGAAATCCACGTGGATGATGATTATTCTTTGTATTGGGTTGGTAAATTTTTTATATGAAAGGCCACGTAGTAAATATTTTAGGCTTTTTGGGCCATATGGTTTCTGTTGTAACTGCTTACCTCTGCCCTTGTAGCACCAAAGCTGCCATAGACAATATATAAATAAACATGGTTGTGTTCCAGTAAAACTTCATGTACGGATATGGAAATTTGAAGTTCATGTGATTTTCATGTGTTACAATATCTTGCTCAAGATGTGCTTTTTAGCTTATTTATAGGGATAAAGTATTTTTTTTTTTAATTTTTTTTTTTTCAATGTTTATTTATTTTTGGGACAGAGAGAGACAGAGAATGAACGGGGGAGGGGCAGAGAGAGAGGGAGACACAGAATCGGAAACAGGCTCCAGGCTCTGAGCCATCAGCCCAGAGCCCGACGCGGGGCTCGAACTCACGGACCGTGAGATCGTGACCTGGCTGAAGTCGGACACTTAACCGACTGAGCCACCCAGACGCCCCGGGATAAAGTATTTGGAATTAGAGTAAAAATGCCCAGTTTCAGGATTTTTTTTTCACACTTGGTTTTATATTTAAGTACCAAAAATATCCAAACATTTTTTGTTAGTCGTCATCAACACTCCCATTTGTGTTTCTAATCATCTTACTTAAAAAAATTACATCAAGGTTGAAAATACAATCCTTTCAGGGCTGTTTGAAGAATATCTGGCATTAGTTAGGTTTATATTTAAAGAAGAAGGGGCATGGTTTGTGGGTGAGTGTGGGATATGTTGTAAAGGATGGGGTATTCTTAGACTCAGGTTGTATGATTGCTTGGCTAGAGGAAGAATACCAACCAAAAAAGCTGTCAGCTTTCCAAATATGAAAGAAAATGTGTGAAAATTATAGGGACTATAGGAAACAGTGTTTTTCTTGAAAAAGCAGTTGCAGCAAAAAAAAAGAATGAATATCTAATTGTCATTTAAAATTGATCACTTAGTGGACTAGAAGCTTAAGGCTGTAAGATCTCTATGTGTTTTTAACTTCAGCATTGTGATGAATGCATTGCAAAATTGCCAGAACTTTATAGATTGCCATTTTTCATGATTAAGTCATCAAATTAAGTAACTCTTTTCAGGCTTTAATATCTTAAGCTTAAAAAAAAAAAAAGTCATCTTGAATTTTGAGTGTCTTACAGGAATTTTTGATTAGTTCCCTTTAAAATGTTCAGGTGATAGTCTAGAAAAGCACTGCCCAATAGAAATGTAATATGGGTCACAAATGTGAGCCACATATGTAATTTTTTTAAGTTTATTTATTTTGAGAGAGAGAGAGAATCTCAAGCCAGCTCTGCACTATCAGCGCAGAGCCTGGCATGGGGCTTGATCTCACGGATCATGATATCATGACCTGACCTGAAATCAGGAGTTGGACGCTTAACTGACTGAGCCATCCAGGTGCCCTGTGTAATTTAAAATTTTTTAGTAGGCATGTTAAAAGAATGTAAGCAGGTGTAATTAATTTTAATAATATATTTTACTTAATCTAACATACCCAAAATATTTTATCATGTAATCAGTACAAAAATTATGGAGGTTATACATTGCTTTTTTCATACTAAGACTTTGAAATCCATTTTGTATTTTTATATTTAGAGTGCATCTAAATGTTTATTTTTTTTTATATTTACATTTCAGTTTAGACTGTCCACATTTCAAATGATTATTAGCCACAGGTGGCTATTGAATACTGTATTGGACAGTGTAGCTCTAGAATGATAGATATATTGGCTTTCTGAAATGTGGGTAAATGTTGAATCCAGAGAGCCTTTTTACCACATAATACAAGATATGGGAGGAAATAAAACATAAATATATCTAGTGTTGAGAATGGTATTTAAATCCATCCAATCATTTACATTTGGAATTAGTGTTAGTCTTCTTCACACCTAAAAAATTGTATTTTGGATTTACTACTATGAAAGTATAAGCACGGTGGTTGTTTTTTTTGTTTGTTTGTTTTTAACTGATCTTTTAAAAATTTTAGCTAAGTCCCTTTTTCTCTCTAGATAATGGATTTTCTGGGAACAGAATTTTCTGTATTGTCCTTTTACTTTTTGGCTGTTTAAGTCTTTGAATAGATATATTTAGATTTTTTTTTTTAATGTTTATTTTTGAGAGAGAGACACACAGAGTGTGAGTGGGGGAGGGGCAGACAGAAAGGGAAACACAGAATCTGAAGCAGGCTTCAGGCTCTGAGCTGTCAGCACAGAGCCTGAGGTGGGGCTTGAACTCATGGACTGCGAGATCATGATCTGAGTCAAAGTCGGACGTTTAACTGACTGAGCCACCCGGGCGCCCCTAGATTTTTTTTAAATTAAAGATTTGGAGTAGAGATTCTGTTAAAGAACTTTTTCTTGACTAGCATCTGAAATTAAATGACCATTTTCTCTAAATATGTAATACCGTAACAATGGAAGAACCCTCAGAGTCTACCTTAGGGTAGGCTGCTCATTGTGGTTTTGAACTTGGGACAATTTCTGTAGTTGAGTCAAGAATATACAGTTGGTTTTCTTATGCAGGGGGCTCAGCCATAAATTTGAGTGTGTAAACTCTACATTAAATACCTCTACTACTTCACCTTAATATATCTTTACTTTAGGAATTCTTTATGTGTACAGGTTTGCTGCTTTTTCTGGGAAGAAAAATTGTTGTAACATCTTGGCTTAGATTTTCACATAACTTCATTGGCCTAATTGGTTAGTGAAGCCTTAACTTAGTATATGGAAAAGGGACTTGAAACTTGACTACAGGTTTGAAAGATTCTTAACCACAGGCCCATCTTCTAGTGCTATTTGAGGTTTATTTAGTATATTTAATATAATAAATTTCTTTTTTTTTTTTTATTTTAAAAAAAAAATTTTTTTTTGTCAACGTTTATTTATTTTTGGGACAGAGAGAGACAGAGCATGAACGGGGGAGGGGCAAAGAGAGAGGGAGACACAGAATCGGAAACAGGCTCCAGGCTCTGAGCCATCAGCCCAGAGCCCGACGCGGGGCTCGAACTCACGGACCGCGAGATCGTGACCTGGCTGAAGTCGGACGCTTAACCGACTGTGCCACCCAGGCGCCCCATAATAAATTTCTTTATAAGGGATTGTAATAGAATATGTTAATATGAAATTTCTTAATAAGTGAAGAGAAAAATGATTGAAACATTTGAACTTGAAAGAAAGCTTCACCTAGAGTTCTAGATCATCTAGACTGGTGCTTCTCAAACTTTACATGTGAATTCCTTGGGGATCTTATTAAAATGCAGATTATAATTCAGTAGGTATGAGGTGAGGCCTGAGATGCTGCTCTTCTAAGATGTTCCCAGGCTCTGCCTGTACTGTTCTTCCCCTGGAACACCCTTTGAGTAGCAGCAAGGATGTAAAAACTCTTATTTTGTGAAGGAGGATACTGAAGCCTAGGAGAATTACGGATTTGTCTAATTTTTCAAGATTGATCAGTGATAGTAAAGACTATATCCTGAGTCTCTTAGTTTGAAGACTAGTACTTTCTCAAACGGATTATGGTGTTTTCATATTTATGGCCATTGTGTTGAAATCTTAAGCAGCTGCTGTATTTTCAAAGGAAATGCTCAGTATATGTGACTTAAGTTAAAATGTCATTCTCTGGAGAAACAGGAAATAATAAACCTATTCAAATATCACTTTTTTAATGTTTTATTTAGTTTTGAGAGAGAGAGGAGGTCAGAGGGTCTGAAGCAGGCTCTGTTGACAGCAGAGAGCCTGATGCGGGGCTCAAACTCACAAACCATAAGATAATGACCTGAGTTGAAGTCAGTTGCTTGACTGACCGGGCCACCCAGGTGCCCAAATGTCACTTGTTTTATAGCACTTCTATTTTGCAGTGATATTGCTTTTTTTATTGTTCAAAGTTATGTTGCTGGCCAGAATAGAAATGACAGGAATTAGCTGATGTATACAGTTGCAAAATTTCTTTCCACTGTGGCCAGATGAAGAGTTTGGTATTTGGTTAATATTAACATGACTGCAAAATAATTAAAAGGGGTCTCTTCTAGCACTTACTTGAAAATTTCCTATTTAAAGAATCTACTTTATCTTGGGGACTTTAACTTCCTGACAGGAATATGGGCTTGATATTTTCACTAGTTCATTCCTCACTTTTAAAAATTTTTTTTGAGTTCTCATGATCATCTTTGAAGAAACCAGAGATATTTTGGTGTCTAATAGTAAGATTTTTGGCAGTTTATACTCTGTTGGCTCTCCTTTCTTAAAAGAGTTAAGTGGTGATACACAGGTCGTTTAGAAGTGTAGGGAGAGCTTGGGTACTGTTCTCAAAGAGGGGTCTTTAGAGACTCAATGGAAAGCTATATGTATATAAAAGACTAGAGCTTTATATTGTCTGTATAGCCTTGAAATAGCCTTATTTTTTTTTATGGTTTTCCTGGAAAACAAGTAAAATTAATAGCAGATCAAGATGCATGTGTCTATACTAAACTGGTTGCAAGGGGATATTTTTTACATCAAGGTAGCAGAAGAGATTTATAAAAGAAGAATGCTTTCTCATTTAGTTGGGGTGATTTTTTCAGGATGGCTCAGAAAAGCCATCTACCTAGAGACTAGAAGGGGCCGCGTTGGTATTACAGGAGAGGCTTTAAGCAGTGAAGAGACGTTAGTGTATTGGGTTAATTTTTTGGATTATAGTAGAAGATTAATTGTAGTAGAATATTAGATATCACCATCTGAAAACTGGGTGTTTTTATTTCCATGACAGCACATGAATTCTAGAGGGTTACTTCAGTCAAGAGAAAAGCTTTTAATGTATGAGTATTTAGACAGTGTCTTGATTTTTTTATATAAATTTATACACACAAGGACTATTGACTTATCTGGTAGCGGAAATATGCCAGATAGAGTCATTTTCTTGTAGGTAGCTGGGATATTGGAGTATGTTGCATTCTGTCTCTGATCTGGTCTACTGATTGGTGTTACAGAGCATTTGGCAGCATGAATCTCAGTAGCTCTGATATGAGGAGATCTAGTATATTATATTGGGTATAGGAGGGCCGTTTTAAGTTATGCTTTCTTTTAGTGCTCATTTTATCAGATTTCTGAATGATTTGAGATTTTTTAAGACTACTTTCAGGCTCACTTTTGTGTATATTTATACCTTTTTTTAATCTCATAAAACCCATAATTTGGTTTCACAGTAGAACATACTAAAGTTTTTACCTCACCTATTCTGCTATCAAAATCTTAACCTAGCTTTATATTGTTCTTCCAGTCTTTTTCCTTTATTCTCATATTTTAAAAAATATCCCCTTGGAAAGAATGTTTGCTCTAGTTTATCATTCTTCATTCTGTGCCTCCAGCATTTAAATTATGATATGAATAGAATCCCTTTGGCGTGGGGTTGGGAAGATTTTAAAAGTAGATTAGATACATTCTGTAGTAAACTTGAAAAGGAACCCTTGTGGAAATAGATTCTTGGGAAAACACTTAGGTGAAAACATTTTGGAGTCTATGAAATAGAATTTACTGGAAAGTTAGAGGTGCTACTGTTTCCCTAGGCGCTCTACTTATGACAGTTAAGTGTAGATTGAGCCCAGGGCTCAGCACATTAGAGACTTAAGGAAGAAATCATTTCTTCAATTTTTCCTCTGCAGTGGTGGTGACCGCGGTGGCTTCAAAAATTTTGGTGGTAAGTGCTGAGTATCCCAAAATGTTTCAGTGGAAATGCTATATAAATCTAAAAGCCACCAATATCCCGCAGACGCAGTCTAAGCCCTTTCTTACTCTGTTGAGGCTGGTGTGTGTTGTGTGCTTTAAAAAAATTAAATATATATACATATATATATGTCAAAGAAAACATTAAAAAGTCAAAGTTGATCTCAAACAGTCCAGTGGGTTTCTACGCAGTGAATTTGCATGAAAGAGTCTGTGGTGACCAATGAATGAGACTTTCAGTGGATTTTGACAATACATTTTTTAATAAAGGTAGCTGACATGGTGTTTTTAAATTATTAGGGTTTTCCAATCAGCCTTCACAACCAGAGCTTAACAAAAGTGATAACTAGCATAATGCCAAAGTGGCGGGTACTGTCTGGGACAAGTTTAAGGAAATAGTGACTTTCATCTTGATTTCTTAAACTTAATAAAACTTAATTTATATATTTACTTTGTAAATCTGTGATGGTTGACTTTCAAGGATTTTGGAAGTTTTGACTTTTCATGCCTTGGTTTTTATTACTATTTTTTCATGATTTCTAATGAGTTGCTTTAAATAGCTTTTTTTTTCTTTTTCTTTTCTTTTCCCTTAGGTCACAGGGATTATGGACCCAGACCAGATGCTGGTAAGGTTTATGGTAGTTTGTGACTTTGCCATTAAGAGACTGTTAGTTTTCCAATTTTTCAAGGAAAAAAAGTTGGAGGAGTTAAGACAGGAGGAAGATTTAATTTGACAGTGCTTCCGGAATTGGGGAGCTTCACTTCTAAAAATATACCAGAAAGAAAACTTCAGGGAAATTGATTGGAAAGTTTGCTGGGGAAAATTGCTGTGTTTGTGGTTTCCCATGTTCTGCTTTTTCTTTTGTGAAGAAAAAACTTGATTTTTTATTGCTAATTAACATTTATTTAAATACTACATGTCAGACGAGAGAGTTGGTGTCATTGGGGAATTAGAAGTAGAAAAACTATGTTTAAGAAAATACTGCATTGGATTGGTAGTCTGCCTAGTGGGCTTAAGAAACCGAAGTTCCTACCTGAGAGAATTGTCTTACTCTAGGCAGAAGTCACCCATTTCATGTAGCTTTTATTTTTGAATGAAATTCAAGGCCACCTGCAGCCTTTTGGGAGTTATGATTTAGTTATTAAAAATCTATTTGAGGCAAAAACTTTTAATATATATTGAAATCAGAACTTTTGTTTTTATTAAGATGCCAAAGTATTTTATATGGAAGGCAATTTCTGAATTATCCCTTGATGGACGAATTTTTGTACTCCTTTCTTACTTTGTTGTATTAATCCAAAAGTGTGCGTGTAAGGTAAGGTGTGTGTCAAGGTGCCCTTACGCTCTGGTATCTACAAAGTTTATTGCAATGGACAAGAAACTAGCAGTTGTGGTTGCCTTGCTTGGAACTCCAAAGTGTCAGATTTGGAGAATTTTCTCCTAGAGAGCCTTACAAGTATTGATTAGCTATAAAGAGTTAAAGCTCTCCAAAGAAAGGAATGCTGATTTATACTAACTTTCTTCATCTCTTCATGAACTTAGGCCTGTATCTGAATCTAAAGAGCAAGATTTCTAAGATCTCGCTTAATTGGTCTGTATTTCACATAGTGTGGACTTGATCTACTTTAACTGCAGTTTAGTTGTAAGAATTGACCTGCTACCAAAAAACTGGTGACCACTTTGCCTGTTGATACAAGATTTTTTTGTATAGTGGTTCTTTTTCCTTTTGGTCATAGAAACAGTTGAATATTGGACAATTAGTTATTGCTCTTGATTACTAAACAGGATGCAGTAAAACCAAGGATATGTAAAATTAACCATAATTTTTTTCCCCTTAGATTCAGAATCTGATAATTCAGATAACAACACAATCTTTGTGCAAGGACTTGGGGAGGGTGTGTCTACAGATCAAGTAGGGGAGTTCTTTAAGCAAATAGGAATTATTAAGGTGAGTAGAAAGTATAGCTTATGTTGAAAATCTCATAATTATTAACAAATTCTAGTTAAGATACATAGATTACGTTGTAAGCCCAAGGTTTGTTTCTTAAAATTCCCTTATACACATGCTCACCCATGTCTGTAGGCCTTTTGCTAAATTTGCTAAATACATGAAAATTTTATTCCTTGTGTTTGTCTTTCCACAGCCTGCCACAGCTTTAGCTTTCAATCTTGGGCTCTAAAAATAGTCTCTGCCTAGGTCCTAAAATTGTGAGAACGAAATGAGATTGTGAGAACATTTTATGGATTCTGAAATGCCAATATATGCGAACCGAGCTGTACATTAGCCCTATATATAATGCTTTATTCCATAACTATGTTATTCATTGTTTACTTGTGTCTTGTGTACTGTTTGTTTCATGCATGTAATTTTCATGTTTTCAACTAGAAAGCAGCAGTTAGAATAGTGTTAGTAGATTGTAGCAGTTGCCTGAAATCAGTTTGCAATTGTTCTTGTTTGGTTTCTGTGTAATACTCATGTTTTTTCTTTCTTTGGGAGTTAAAATTTCTTAAGAAATTTTTTACTCATGACATGTAAAACATTCACACAGTTCTGAAGAGTAAACATTCTTTGTCTTCCACTCCCATCCCAGCCAGCTTCAGTGTGTATACATTAGTGGCAGTCTGTTAAATTTGCCTGGTGTACATTCTTTCTGACCTTTTTTTTAATGTTTTATAAGGTACATATTTACCTGAAGCATTATCTACATTTTTTTGTGTGGGTTTAAAGAAATTATACATAGATAAAACAGTATATTATGTATTGTTTTCATAGCTTGGGTTTTACTTAATGTATCTTAAGAGAATTTTCCTTTTCAGAACCTATAGATAACCTCATTTTTATATTAGGTACATAGTATTTGTAGTATGTATATGTGAATTCCTTTTTAAAAAATCTTTATCTGGTTTATGATCACTTTTTCTTAAAACACTAATACCGACTTGTTTGTTTCTCAGACAAATAAGAAGACTGGAAAACCAATGATAAATCTGTATACAGACAAGGACACAGGGAAGCCCAAAGGAGAGGCAACAGTGTCATTCGATGACCCTCCTTCAGCTAAGGCAGCCATTGACTGGTTTGATGGTATATACCTCATTCATACAGTTTCAATATGCAGTTTGGATAAATGTTGTCCAGTCTTGAAGTCAAACTATATTCTGGTAGACTGGTTATTTTCATGTTTACTTTTGTGGGTATTCTATTAAAAAAACAGGCCAGAGTAGGGGCGCCTGGGTGGCGCAGTCGGTTAAGCGTCCGACTTCAGCCAGGTCACGATCTCGCGGTCCATGAGTTCGAGCCCCGCGTCAGGCTCTGGGCTGATGGCTCAGAGCCTGGAGCCTGTTTCCGATTCTGTGTCTCCCTCTCTCTCTGCCCCTCCCCCGTTCATGCTCTGTCTCTCTCTGTCCCAAAA